CTCTTATTTCTATAAATTAAAAATAAAAAAAATCATCTTTTTTTTAAGTAAATTGAATTTGAGATTAAAATCTGATTGAGCATTAATAAATAAATTTGTTTTTTCAGCAATGTTTACGCCTGAGGAACTTCAAGATCCCTGTGGTCCTCCAAGTAGACCCTCCTGAGCATCTTAGGAACCTAACCTTAGGCAGGATGAACTGCTCCACTGGTTTGTACCAGACCCAGTTCACCATGGTCCCGGTGCTGACGGAACTAAAGCGAGCCGTGACCACAGCCTCCTGCAAACAAAACCATGCCTTGAAGTTTGGAAAGAGTTAAATATGTGCATCAGAGTGATCCACTTTAAATAATCTGCTGCAGGGGAGTCCAGTCCTGGTCCTGAAGGGACGCCATCTTGCAGGTTTTGSAGGTTTCTCAGCTCCAACACACCTGTTTGAAACCCAACCACTGAGTCAGGTGTGGGAGCGGGGAAACGTCCTCCAGCTGCCCCCCAGGCTTCACCCAGAGAAGAGGGTTYGAGGCCTCGTTACCTCCTGGTCCAGCTGCAGAAGCTTCACCGTCACGTTGCCCTGGAGCTCGGGCCGGGCCCCGCTCTGAAACACCCCGAGCCGGGTCACGACCACCGGGTGGAGGACCTTGAAGTCCAGGGCGATGGCGGACACATCGGAAGGGACGAGCACCGCGGGGTCAGACACTTTAACGATCTGTATCTCTGCATCCTGCCCTGTCACTGGGACGCAGATCAAGAAGAGGCACATTAAAAATTTATCCCCACTCGAGCATGCAGAACAGATTTCTTCTTTTTTTTCTTTTCCTGACTCGAGGAGGGGAAAAACCCTCAAGAGGAGAAACGGCTCCCTGCTGAAGCTCCACTATCAGCACTTTGAGGAGCTGGTTTTCAGGATTGCTGCCTTCAAAGTGAGCTCCTGCTCGGCTCGTGAGCCTGGCTTCTTAATTACTAAAGAAGAAGTTTATTACTCAGGAGATCAATGAAAAGATCAAGGCTGTTAAAGRGAAGCAGGCTTTTTCACTTTAGATGCAATCCACGCGAGTTGAACCGCTCCCTCCAAAATAAAGGCAATTAGGGGAGAAGAATCGCAACAAACGAACGAGCGGCTCATCAAACCAAATGTTGTTTTTCACACCGGCTGCAAGATTTCACCAACATATGGATGATAAGAGTGTTTGGACAAATGCCTACGATGATTAAATACAAACACTCACTTGTTAAACGTGTGGTCCGTAGTTTAGCTGATTAGGACATTTTTTAAACAGAAACTGGTTCACTGGTTTATGAGATATTTTACTAACAAAGAGTTGAACCCAACAAGTAATGACAAAATAATGTGTGTTTGGGACATGGATGGAGGAATGGATGGATGGATGGATGGATGGATGGATGGATGGATGGATGGACGGACGGACAGAAGGACGGATGGATGGACGGACAGACTGAGGATGGATGGACGGACGCAGGATGGATGGACAGACGGACTGATGAACAGATGGATGGATGGATAGATGGACGGAGGATGGATGGATGGATGGACTGAGAGATGGATGGATGGACAGACGGACGGATGGATGGATAGATGGATGATGGATGGATGTACAGATGGATGGATGGATGTACAGATGGATGGATGGATGTACAGATGGATGGATGGATGTATGTATGGACAGACGGGTGGACGGATGGATGGATAGACGGATGGATGGATGTACAGACGGATGGATGGATGGATGTACAGACGGATGGATGGATGTACAGATGGGTGGAAGGATGTAGAGATGGATGGATGTACAGATGGATGGATGGATGTACAGATGGATGGATGTACAGATGGATGGATGTACAGATGGATGGATGTATGGACAGACGGGTGGACGGATGGATGTACAGACGGATGGATGGATGTACAGACGGATGGATGGATGGATGGATGGATGTAAAGACGGATGGATGGTTGTACAAACGAATGGATGGATGGATGGTTGTACAAACGAATGGATGGACGGATGGATAGATGGATGTACAGACGGATGGATGGATAGATGGATGGATGTACAGACGGATGGATGGAGGGATGGATGTACAGACGGATGGATGGAGGGATGGAACCAATTTTCAATCACTAATAATCACAGGCTACTAACTAACAATTAGCATAGATGCTAACTTAACATTGAAAACATAGAAACACGTCCAGAAGTGGAGTGAAAACCAAAAACCGTATTTACCTCTGACAGGAACCAGGAAGTCAAAAACAGGCGTCCAGTCGATGTGTTTCAGCATCAGGTGTGAACGAGGACAACTTTTCTGATCTAATTAACATTCAGCCCAAACAAACACGTTTCAACAACAATTAATTGTAACACGAGCTCCGACTCGACTCCTGAGTCCAGTTCCTTTAAAAGCAGCCACTCTTGTTTTATTTTTTTTTTCTCTTCCAATTAAACTCAACATCTCACACTGAAAGCTGCCCACAATTCTGAGGCAAATCACGTCATTAACGCGCCGGAGAGCGGAGGAAAATAAAGCAATCCTTTAAAAAGATAAAATGACCTTAAAGGCCGTCGTCTGAAGAAGTCTGTCCTGATGAGCGGTAATTATGTTTTCCTGACAGCGCCGATGACACAGCTGAGCCGGACCGACTCTGAAGGTGAAGAGACGCAACAATTACTGCCGACTTTCAATCCCACAAGTGATTATGTCCAATTATTTTATAAACGGTTTATCTGCGTTTCCTATAGCTGGACTTTTTCCTGTTAGGAAACTGTTTCTGCTGCTGCTGGAGTATCAGTCATTTCTGCACGAGCCTTGAATACAAAAAGGAAAAAAAGAAGTTGTCCTTGAGCTTGTGGGTGAACATGAATAAAGGTGTTTTACTTTTTTTCATTCTGAATACTTATTCTTTTCATTCTTTCTACTCCTCTGCTGCCGTTCTGCCTCCGCTTTGCTCCTAACGCAAGGAACACACCAGTAGGCTTACAGGGGACACAAATTAGCATATTAGCATCTTAATGTTTTTTTATTTGTCTGCATGTCTGTGCTCTGTTATATGTCTGTTAGCAAAATATTTCATAAACCACCCAAGGTATTGTTGCGAAACTCTCTTAACATAATCAGTGGACGTACGTCTACAATACATTTCAGAGTCAAACCTGTTTAAGATGGTCGCCACAGAGTTTGAGTAAAACAACCAGGAAGTCTGCAACTCATTATCTTTTGGAGTCAACACAACTCAAGATGGCCACCACGGTTTGTCAAAATTGCTAAAACTCAGACAATTTAACAAATATTAGGATAAAATTGGAGGTGGTAGTAGCTGAGCATGGTCCACAACAAACATAGGAGCTACACAATGGATTAACTTTTTGGATCATTTTAGATGGCTGTCAAAACTAAGCTACCATATGTACGGTGTGGTACGGGGGCCAAAATTAAGACTATTGAGCACATTAGCATTAGTATTGAAGGGGCTTGTGACTAGCATGCCTAGTCTGGTGTTAGCATTGGAGAGGCTAGGGATTAGCATGCCTTGGTTGACATTAGCCTTGGAGAGGCTAGGGATTAGCATGCACAGAGTGGTGTTAACATTGAAGAGGCTAACATCTAGCAGGCTTAGCCTGGCATTAGCATTGAAGAGGATAACGTGTAAAACACAGCAGCATCAAATTAATATTAGTAGCAGCATTACTGGTAGTATTATTTTTGTTATATTTTTTATTTTCAAATTTTATTCATTTCTTAAAAGAAAACAAAAGTTATTCTATGTACAATAAAAAATAAAATATTATAATATGACTTGCTACTCTGACACTAATACTTCATTGTATTTCCTTGATAAAAGGTTTGTTTCTTTTTTGTGTCCAATCTATTGGGTGACCAGCTTAGGCATGCTAGTCACTAGCATCTTCAGTGCTAACGGATACAAATAGTCWCCTTCTCATTTGCTAACGCCAGCCTCTCAGGTGCAGATCAGTAGCTGGTTTTGGAAGAGATCCTGCTGTAAAGACGTGACCACGGCTGGGTGCACAATAGTCTTAATTATGACCCTGCACCGTAAAAATGACTTTAACTCAGTTTATTGATAAGATGATCTCAATATGCATTTGTTTAATAAAAGCTTTAATTTATTTTTTAATTTTCTTACCTGGCTTGCTGAAGTTTAGGAGGGAGCAGGAGTAAGGATCCTCCCGGTCCTCCTCCGGAACGGGACATCCACGTTGACCCACGATGAACTTCACAGTCACTCTGAAAATAAAAAAAAAAAACATTTATTTTTTAACCGGCGCTTGGCTACAGAACATCTAACGCCTGTCTGTTTGCTTCCTCTCTTCCCGTTGCTACGGTTACCGAGCGTTGCTCAAAGGCCCGCCGCCACACCTYATCTGCGCTCAGATCGCTGAGCGGGGAGGAAACGGACCAGAAAGAAGAAAAGAAGAATGGAAAGCGGGAACAACATCACCCAACGGTCAGGTGAAGATAAAAGAGGAGGGCGGAGAAGACGGCCGCCAGCTTTATTCTCGGCAAGGCGGCGGAGTTTTGGCGCTCCGGCCCACAAACCTGCGCCGGAGGCGAGGGTGGTCTCTGATGTAGCCCAGCCAGGTCTCCCTTATCGCCTGCCGCAGCTCGCCATGGTGCCTCGCCGACAGCACCCCCACCAGAACTTCAGAGAAGGGCGGCGACTCATCTGGCATGAAACGAGACGGAAGATAAAATTCACTGTTAGCAAAAATATCTCACGAAACCTTCAGGAAACAATCTTTACCTGTAAATCTACAATTAAATTCAAGATGTCCGCCCCAGACTTTAAAAATTACAAATAAACTGCTATAAAATCACGAGAAAATGTGAGCTAAAATTTGACATGGTAGTAGCCGAGTCATCCCCAACATGTATTATAAGCACCAACAGATTGTCCAAAATCAAGAGTTTGTCTGTTAGCAAAATATCTCATGAAGCAATGGATGGATTTAAACGAAACGTTCAGGGAACAATCATCCAACGTGAGTCTACAACTGATTAACTTTTGGAGGCAATTTAGGTGAAGATGGCCACCACAGGCCGCTTAATTAAAAAAACACTAAAATGGCTACAACTCAGTCAATTTTACAAACAATGAGCTAAAAAATTTAACATGGTAGTACCCGAGAGTCATCCTCAACATATCCAACTCCATCATTTCTTATATTTCTCAATTTTAGTTTAAAACTGATGAAAGACTACAGGTGATATGCATTCCTTTAGGGAATATTAAAGTTCCTGTGACATGTTTATCCTTCAGATACAAAAAGTCAAAGAAAACTTTGTTCTATTTAAGAATCTTTGCATACCACACGTTATTTTACCCATATGGACATGTAAATTACCTATTTTCTTTTGAACTTGGCTCGGCAAAGGGGAAACAGGAAGTGACATCATAGGGGAACTCCTTTAAGAAAAATAACTCTCTGGTCTTTGTTTATTGAAATATTATTATTTGAACTCTGATTCTTTTGTTTGTTTCTGTCTGATAACGGCTCAAAATCTAAAACATCAGGTTCCTCTCCACAGTTTCGGCTGTTCAGCATTTTAGCTTAGCTCTGTTTWYATTCAGACATTCCCCTTTGACATCACTTCCTGTTTCTTCACATGCAAATATCTCAACAAGTGTTCATCTCAGCAGCATGAAAATTATTTTGTAGTATGTCCTCAGTGTTATCTTTCCAAAAATGTATTTGTATTACTACAACAACTTTGATGTCACAGGCACTTTAAACCTTTAATTTAAACCTTTAACCGGTTGAAAGAAAATTATAAAATGTCAGCTAAAATACAAGAAATTGATTTTGTATATAAATAAGCCGCATATAATTAAAATCTGTTCTAAAAAGCAATGTTAAACTACACAAAWACAATAAAGATGGTTAAAGAAAAAAGCAGGCAGATTATTAACAGTTTTCTCCGTTTGTTTTGACTATTCACATTTATAAAACCGACCATTAAATCAGTTGATATTCTGTTTAAAGATGACACATTTTACAGTCTGATTTCTTTTTAACTCAAATAAATAGTCTGAAGAAGAAAGAGAGATGCTGTTCGTCTATCCCAGCAACGCCCAACAGAACTGTAATGTTCAGATTATTTTTCTTTTATCTAAAACACAGATTTTAATCGAATAATAACTAACAACCACAACGGGGCTGTAAAAAGCCTAACTTAGCCAGCCGCTACCAGGTGAGGAAAAGTTGGGCTGTTTTTCCGGAGGTAACGTCGGGGTTTGTGGCTAAAAGAAAGTACCCGAGTGAGTGTTGTTGTCCGGCGGGGTGAAGAAGAAGAAGAAGGGTCGTCGCGCCAACCACAAGTGCACCAAGACGGCGACAGCACAGGGCAGCAGAATGAGCGCTAGCCTCCGCATGGACGGAGCCCTTCATTCAGCCGGAGCAGGCTTTCAGCTTGGGCGGAGCGGAGACTGTTCCAGAGCCGGAGCTGCGCGCCGCTGCCTCGGTGTGTGCAGCTCCGAGTGTGCGCTTCATTTCTAGCTGCCTAGCGTCTGCCTGCACCGCTCGGAGAGCCGGACCAATGGGAAGCGAGGAAATCTACCCTGGTGCATGCTGGGAATTGAAGTTCCAGGGTGCAGCCAGTGGGCTGCTCATCGAAATGTGATCATTTTGTGACAAATAAACATGAATAAATAATAATTACATTTATAATTATTATATATTTATAATTTATATATTTATAATTATTATTGTAATAGGTACAACAAACAACAAAGCACAAACTTAATAACAGGTATTAACAGCTGATTATATTATTATTATTGTATTATATTATTATTAGTAGTAGTAGTAATTGTAGTAGTACTTAGTGAACATTAAAAGACACTAAAGGTTTATGGTTGACATTGCTGTTTATCTCATAAAAATACCTGCTACTATTACTACTACTACTGCTACTACTTCTAGTACTACTGCCACAATTACTAATATTTCTACTACTATCTGTCTACTTCTACATCTATTACGTCTAATATTACTACTTTTACTTCTAATTATATTTCTACTTTTACTAATATTTTTATTATTTTGTTGTAGAAGTGCTACTTCAAATACTATTCTTGTCTGATACTTATTACCAATTATTAATATCTGTTGGTGTTTTCACCTGTTACTGTTATCTATTGTTAGGTTATTATTTAATATTACCTTTTGTTGTTACCTGTTGATGTTACCTCTTATGTTATTACCTTGCAATTTGGTATTACCTCTTATCTGTTTTAGTTACTACCTGTTATTACCTTTTACCTGTTGTAGTTATTACCTGTTATTACATTTGATCTGGTGTAGTTACTACCTATTATTACCTTTTACCTGTTGTAGTTATTACCTATTATTACCTTTTACCTGTTGTAGTTATTACCTATTATTACCTTTGACCTGTTGTGGTTATTACCTGTTATTACCTTTGATCTGTTGTAGTTATTACCTGTTACCTTTTACCTGTTGTAGTTGTCCTTTACTACCTGTTCTTATTACCTGTTGTTGGTATTACCTGTTATGTTACATATTGTTATCTGTTATTGTTCTTTGTCCTTGAAGACTAAAACCCAATAAAATACTTTGGGACATGCTGTTTATCACTTTAAAAAGATTATTTTTTATCTTAATTTCCTTCTGTGCACATTGTGAATTTCCAATGAAGAAACCAGAAAAACATTCTGCAGCACATTGAAAATTAATGTTTAAATCACTTTAAATCACTTTATCTCCTTGAAACTCACGGCGACACGTTCCGGCCCCGAGACTAAAGCAGAACTTTATCAAACCTGTTTGTCAGCGTCTCCCATAAATCACTTAAATGGGATTTTTTTTTTTGTGTGCTCAGAGATGAACATTTGAAGAGGATTTCTCCTGACTCTGAAAGCATTAAGGTTTCTCCTGAAGTGCTGGGTTCTCCGTGACACAAATATATTTGTAAACATTTCATTTGCATTGCTTGTCACAAAAAAGTCTCGAGTTCCGTGAATCCAAATTAATTAAAGTTAATCAGCACTAGCTTCAATCATTACTTTCAAAAAACTTTATTACCCACTTTTTAATCTTTCAGTTACAGTCATTAATGACAGCTGTAAGTGCAGCAGAAGGTGTTTTTTTTTTTCGTTTCCCCAGCTTGAGGCTGTAAACGGACACGCGAAACAGCAACACACTCCATGAATGCCGAAGTCAGCATCTGAAACCTTGAATTATTAATGGAGCCATTCTTCATGCTAATAAAAGGCGCATGTGTTGGTATTTTATCTGTGTTCAGTGAAAACTAACTGAGGTCAAACTGACTTTTAATCTTATTTTTTTAAAAGGGACAACATCCAGATGGTCTGTGGCTCGGCTCGGCCACAGGAGGTCTCCACAAACCAGAACCTCCAGCTCATCCTGCAGGGCCCGCGCCGAACCAGGCCTTTCTGTAAGACCTCGCCGAGGCAGAAGGACTGGAGACACGGCACACGTGAGTTACTGTTTTCTTTTTAATTCATTTCATCCTTCAAAGGGTTTACAAAGCCTGCTATTTAAATGCTTTTTTTTTCTCCGTGGAAAAAAAAAAGAAACCAAAATACTCATCAAATATACAGCTGCACATTACTGACACATCCAGACTCTACTGAGATTATTATGTGCAGAGTGGCACCCAGAAATGAGGAGGCAATACTTCATATCATCATAATAGAGTTCTCCCGTAAATAAATTCATGCAATATTTGTCTCTAGCTGTTGTGTTTCTTTCAGATTTGGCACCATCTTTATGATGAGGTCTGAGACCTGGAGTTATCCTGAAAATACAACCGCGGCTCAGAAAAAAGAAGTGTAAACATGTCAATAAAACCAGGATCAAGTCATATTTTCTTCAAAATGAAACAAAGTATCAAATTGTTGCCACCTTGACTCTGTACATTTATTTTATAAAAATAAGGTAATTTTTAATGTTTGAAATGCTAGTGTTTTGCTGAAATATGCAAAGCCTTCCCTGAAAAAAAAAAAGACTATCTTGTTGGGACCAGACATTGTGAAACCTGTCCTGTTCTGTATTGATGGTGCCTTTCCAGATGTGTAAACTGGGAAGGCCAGAGGCATTCATGTACCCCCATATCATCAGAGAGGCTAACAGTAACAGCTAACCACTAAAATGACTGTCACTCAGTCTGCATCCCAGTCCTTCCTCTTCTATGAGCTGAAGACTGGTGGAACTGACACAAACCTGCTGATGTTAGCTTTGTAGTTCGCTGTTAACGAACTAAAGTTGGCAGAACCTAATTTAGCAGAAGCTATCAATAACAGCTAACCGCTAATACAACTGTCACTCAGTCTGTGTCCAACATCTTAGTCTCCTTTGAGCTGAAGACTGGTGGAACTAACACAAACCTGTTGTTAGCTTGTTAGTTAGCTGTTAGCGGACTAAAAATTGGCGAAGCACAATTTAGTAGAAGCTAACTGGTTTGCTAACACTTAGTTCTGCTATTAACTGTTAGCTGATTAGCAGAATCATGTCCACCACTGTTAAAATGTAAATTGTTCCTCCAGATGTTTCTCGTTTGTATCATTTACTTTTTTTGCCCCTAGAACAAAATGTTTTTACATTTTTTACCGCCAACAAACTCAAAATTACCTTTTTTACCTCTTTATTTTCAACATTGGATTAGGTCTACTCTGAATAAAATATGGGTTTATCAAATTTGCAAGTGATTCTGTTTTCATTTACATTTTACACAACTTTTCTCAGAACCGTGGTTGTAATTTGACAACAATAGTTTGTTCAAGTCCAGTATCAAGAGAATGATTACTGATTGGATTCAAGTATCAGGAGGGAAGAAAATTTCAGAATGCCCAAACCACCAGAGATCATAACTGTGTAAACGATCGCTGTTTTTTTTTATAAAATACATAGACGGTATCAATAATTGCATGACTTATAAATAAATGACTTTGTCTAAGTATCATACAAGCTCATTAGCACTTCACGTCATGTAGCTGTCAGTGCTATGCAACAAATATTAAATATTACTACTGATAATAACAATATTAAGAACGATTATAACAAGTCATCGTAAAAATTAGCAAAAAACTAGTCAACTACCATGTAAAGGAAAGGTTTCAACAGTGTGCTTTTTTTTTAGTCTAAAAACCAAAGAGAAACAGTAAAAGGCTGCAGGGACCAACAGCGTGAGGATCACACCGTTGTYATAAGACGTTGGCACTGGAACGTACTGTACACTCTAAAAGACCGACAGGCCCTCAGAAAGAGAGGAAACCGTCTAAAAAACAGGAGCGAAGAAACATGCAGCCCCTCCGGTTTGGCTTTAATGTCAAAAGGGCTCGCCGTTCATTCAGTCTGGGACAGGCAGAGAGGAATCGGGCTCAGGAAACAAAAACTTTTTAAGAACAACAGAAAACGCCTCCAGCTGGGAGCTGCGATGAATCCACTTTAGTTGTCGCAAATTATATTAAAGGTACTCATTACCAAGATATGTATACAGCTAAAAGATTTTAAAAAATCGTAAAGTAAGAAACAAAATCTGCATGATAGTTTTCTTGTATGTGCTTTAACAGTTTTTTAGCAAAATTTGTGAACCTGCATTTGTTTATGTACGAAAAAAGCTGAAAAAACAGAAAATATTGATATTCATGTCGATATTTGTAAATATTTATATTTGTTGACAGAGCTGCTTGACTAACATTCCGTCTTTATGTTCTTGCGTGATCTCTCAGAACCCATTCTGGGAACAAACTCCTGGCAGAACTTACTTCTTGGGGTGATACGTTCCAAGTGTTGTGCGATTGGTCAAAACTTTGTGGGCGTGATTTACGCCGAAGTATGTCACTCTATTTTTGCCTCATCTTTACAACTATTCCGGCAACAATTTCTAAAGGTTGTCAAATGGCAAAGAACTCGTGGAAGAAGATATCGCAGTTATTGCGCATRGARGARACAGCGTGGAGACACCGGTGGCTTAGCCGGACAGCGTAGGGACACTTTCCCGCACCTGTCTTTTTAGAAATTTGCAAATTACTGCTTGCARAAATACCAAATCTTCTTCACAAAATAAACATCCACCTTGCCAGCCGTGCTCTCGCTGTGTTGTTGCCATGTTCTGTAGTGGGAGGGGYTTACCAGGAGTTGCTGCTGCAAGTTCTCAAAAGAAATTACCAAAGTAAGAACAGATGTCTTGCATCTTTTGAAACATTTTTGTCTTATGCAGGTCAACTCRAGCTTCCTCGTGGTTTTCAGCGGACTCTATGCTCGACTCTTACAAACTGCGCCATTTGATGTACACTTGAAAGTCTGTTTTCATATTTTGCAATGAGTACCTTTAAAGGTGGCATTGGAAGTGACAGATTGATAAATAATTCTCGTCTCGATCGTTGTTTTGTCCTTGAAGGCGTCCCCCACCCGCTTGGTTTCATTACTGGTGGAAGCGGATGTGAAGCCTCATCCTTCTTAATCTGAGCGAAGCTGAAATTACTCATCTTGTGAGATAAAGGTTCTGTCTCTCAGCTTTAATTGGACCAAACGAGCAGGAGAACCACGACTGACGGAGGCGTTGCTACAAACAGTGACGCATTAGCAGTCAAAATAATTAAAAATAAACACGAGGCAAAATTATAAGGTGGAGAAATTAGTAAAGTTGTTTAAAAAGTTGGAGAAAATTTCTGTTTCCTGAGGCAAATTGGGATCTAGCACAACAAAAAGGGAATAAAAAGGGAAAGTAATCTTTCATCTCATGAAGCATTGAGCAAGGCTGTTCTCTAATAACAAAGCAATAACAAACCTATTTAAACAAGACATGATACGCTCACTGGGTGGCCGCCTTGGTGGCCGACTCCCCCAAAAACTTCAGCCACCAGGACCGAGCTGACCAACAACAGAGTGTCCGCCAGGCAAACCTCAACTCAATGCCTATTGGCCAGTAGCTTCAGGTGTGGTGAAGACAAGAGAAGCCAGGCAACGCCATGCCCGGACCCGGACCGCTCGAACCGGCAGGGTCATCAGAGGATGGTGCAGAAGAACTTCTTCTCCCGGAAGGGGTTCTCGGAGGCGGGGACGGGCACGATGAGGGGGTCCTCTCGTATGTGGGCGTCGCAGTACGCCATCAGGTCTGCGGCCGCTTTGGAAACCTGGAACGTTTGAGACCAAAGAACAAGATTAGAGGACCAGGCATTATCTTCAGGGTAACAGAAGATTTAAAGTACCGGTGACATCGAATTTTTGAAACGAATATGAATACATTTTTGGAAAGATAAAATAACATGCTGTAAAAAAATAAAAAATACTAAATTCATACCACTGAGATGAACAGTTGCTGAGATATTCACATGTCAAGTAACAGGAAGTGATGTCAAAGGGGAATATCTGCATGTGAACAGAGCATTGCTAAAATAGATAACAACAGACTGTAGAGAAGAATCTGTTGTTTCTTTCAATTGTTTTGAGTCACTATCAGACAGATGAAGAAGAGTCAACAAACAAAATCCAGGGAGTTCATTTTCCTTAAGAGTTCCCTTTTGATGTCACTTCCTGTTTCACGTTGGCTGAGTCAAGTTCAAAAGAAAGCATGCCAGTAATGTGAAAATATGGTAAAATCATGTATTTTGTCAGGTTTCCTAAATTTAAAGATGTTTTCTATGACCTTTTGTATTTGAAACATTTATATTTCAATTACAGTGAAACAGGAAGTGACATCAAAGGGGAATTCTTTAAGAAAGAGAACTTTCTGGTTCTTTCTGTTCATTGGTTATTGAAACGATTTTATTTGAACTCTGACTCTTCTTAGTGACCTAAAAACTTGAAGAAACATCAGATTATTCTCTACAGCCTGTTTTTRCTCTTGTAGAAATGCTCTGTTTACATTCAGACATTCCCCTTTGATGTCACTTCCTGTTCCTTCACATGCAAATATCTCAACAACCGTTATCTCAGCGGCGTTTTATTATTATTTTTTCACGTCATCTCAAATTTGTTACAAAAATTTGATATCACAGGCACTTTAAGATGTTTGTCTGGATTTAGGTCCACAGGAATGCTTTGAGTCTTTTTTTAGTCCAACGATGAGTATTTCTTCCAACAGCACGGGATTAATTTGTGTGCAGACGTCCACCTGGGAACAGGCGGGAAACTGAGGAGCAGCTGCAGCAGAGGGACGGCGGCGGTTCAGAGTAAAAACATGGAGGACGGAGCCATCTGATGTCCCGCCTGCCACTTCACCTCACCCACCGCCGCTCTCAGGAGAACACCACACAGAATCCATTTTAGCGTGCATCAGCCTCGGTTTTAAAGCACGAGTCATGGAACATAAAAGTTTTGACAAAAGTAAAATAAAAAGAAAGTATGCGCATTTACATGATCGCCCCCTTTTCATGGRTTTCATCAAATAAAAACACTCAGATTAAAATGTGCACTTACGTTAATTAAATCCAAAATAAACAGGCATATTAATCCGACGTTCCTACACTTTCTGTATCCGGTTAATCCGAGCCAAATCTCAGCAAGCTGGGGCGTTTCTCCAGCAGTCAACGAGGTCAAAGGTCACCAGTTCATTCACAAAGAGACAAGCAACTATGGTCGAATCTAGGATCACCAGTGTGATGATGATCTCCTTTATCGGCGGGAGATAATGATAACCTGCAGAGAGCAAACCCCCCTCCCCCTCAGGACGAAGCCAGGCTCTGCTCGGAGCGTCGGTTCAGACTGATTTAATTACAGCGTCAGCCCCACGACAGAAGCAGAGCCGTCTAATTAACACAGATCACATTCCTTCGGCTGATTGAGTAATTAACGAGGACGTGGTGACCCTCCAATCAGCAGCGGCAGAGAAGACTCTGGTCGCTGACACATGCTCACCCCTCATCAGAACAATTCATCGTCAACCTGCCGCTTTGGATTAGAGCCGAGTCGACTCTGTCTGTCTGCTGAAACTCAGCAAGTAATCTCTGGACGTGCRTTCACAGCTGATTATTTGCTGGAGTCGACCCAAGATGGCTGCCACTGCTAAGTGATTTTAGCCAAAACAAAAATGGCTGTAACTCAGTAAGTTTTTCAGGTATTTAGCTAAAATTCGGTGACCAAAATGGCTTTAATTTTGTCCTTCCTCATCATAATATGTTCAGTTCCGTTAAATTTTTTTTTTCTGCAACAGAGATAATCTGAAACCATCATCTGGAACCATTTGGTGAGAGTTGGAGCAGAAAAACAAACAGAACTGTGCAGAGGCGGCCATGCATAACTCTTTTTTTCTTTTAATTTACAGTAAATTTGTTGCCTTCTTTTCCCTGAAAATACCTCATAACAGCTGTGCTGCGTCTCAGCTGTTCTCAGCTGTTGGACTTCAGAGTTTCTCTTTGGAGAGATTCTGTTCATCTTAAAGGGAACTCCGACTAKTTGTAATATTAGATATTATCTGATAAACATGTACTTGAAATATAAAAACGAGACCGTATAAGTACTGGAGGTTGTTTRGTTTTTATAAATGTGAAAAAAATATTGTCGCAGGATTAATAATAATAATAGCTTAGAAGCTAACACCACATATACAGTATATCAATAATACTGTATAGCGTAGGGCGATATACTGTATGCTGTTAGTTCCCAAGCTAATAA